GAGAGAGAGAGAGAGAATTGATGTATCGTTCGCGCATACAAATCACTTGTATCCACAGGCGGATGCCTAAATTCGCACATTTAGCCCCGACGGAACGCGCGCTGTGGCTAAACTTTCGTGCTAAAGTTAGAATAGAAAATAAACGGACGCTTCGGTAACCGCGCGTCGAAAGGTTCACGAGACTTACGAAATACAAATAACCGCGGTGAGTTAATAGTAATAGACGAGCGAGTCGCGTCCACGCGCGCTTGGCAATACGTCAATAAAAATTAACAATATCACGCGGACAAATAACTTTTACCCGATATCGCCTGTTGTGTCTGATATCAACGTATATTTTTATTTCCGCTACAAGAGCGCTAATTGGCGACGGAATGTTTGGGCAAAACATACACTCGTGCTATGTTGTAATATATTCATACAATGTAGTATTTATTACCCGACAACCGGGAGTCTGTAAGGTACTGCAAAAATAAAGAAGCGAGCGTGCAATGATATGACGGTTAGAGAGGCGATGTTACTGGAGATATGGAGATGATCGATTTTATAATTAAAATAAATAAATCTCGTTGTTTATACTAATATGTTCTGATCGCGATTGAAGCTTTTGAAGTGAAAAATAACACTTGAATTTCAAAAAAGCTTAAAAGAGAAAAATATCGTTTTTCAAAGTAAATCGAGAGTAAACTTCGGTGAAATCTCATTTATCGTAAGCTTTAAAATATTGTTAGCTGCCATTTTTTTGGATAGAGCTGTTGGATAGAGCTGAACTAATTTAGCGGGCCTAGAAAATCCTTAGGCATTGCGAGAGCGATCTCACAGGATGTACGGACGAGCGGGCCAGTAGGCCACGTCGCGCGAGTGATTGAAAATAGCTGAAAACAAGACGGTGGTTCCGGCGCGCGTTGGCCGAAATGGCGAACGCGTTCTACGAGCGACTGGCCTATTTCTCGTCGCGGTGTCTTATATTTAGATCCTCATCCTCCAATGAATCACGCGCGAACGCGGGAACGAAGGAAAGAGTAAACCGTAAGGCCAGTACTCTTTCATCGTGGCACTGACCACGATAGACGATTTGGAAAACGCACCGTGTGCGAAATAGAAATTTTGTGGGAGCTTCGAATAAATTGCATTATTGTCTCATCTCCTCCGAGGAAGGAGAAATCTCGTTATAACGATGACGAGATTAAATGTTCCGCGAGTGATCGGCTCCAGCGAGCCGACGCGTAAGCGTCGACATGACGCAACCTGATAGCCCCTGGTGCCTTCGCGCTGATATTCGTTATCGCAAACTGTCGCGGTTCATTATCCGGCGACGCTGTAACACGCTCGAATGTTAACGCAATAATTTTCCGTGGCGTCGCTTTGAATGAATCGATCGCCGTCTCGGAACAAATGTACGCCTAAATATACGAGCACGTCGGCGTGCGAGACCGCGCGCGTGTCGATCGCGTGCCGGATTTATGTCGCGGAATATTAAATCCCGCTTCTCGCGCAACGCTGTACACAACGCTGTGCACGAGCTCGACGACGAGGGGAACACGTATTTCGTCAGCATCGCTGTGGACGTTAACCGGCGCGTTTCACGATATGAGATTTATATTATTTATACAAGACTGATTCGCGTCCCGCCGCGAGACGCAATATTAATCGGATTACGGAATTGGAGCAATCTGGACCGCGCGATTGTGATGCTGCGCGCGCGATTGTGATGCTGCGCGCGCGACCTGCGCCAACGTGAATAGATCTCCGCGCCGTTCCACGCGCTTCTGCTTCATCGCCGAAAACTAATTTCGGCGTGGAAAAACAATACTCGAGACAGCAATGAGATTTCCGTTCCGGCGTTACCGCGCCTGTCTCTCGTAGTAAGAAAGTTCCTTTCGCGCCGCGATAGCCGGGATCCGACGAGAGCGATGGGGTTTTATCGAAAATTCCCGATTTTCCGCTAAATCTCAACTGTTCCAATCGAAATCCTGTGATTTTTTTCAATTTTACAGCTGGGTTTTATTGCGCGAAACCGAAGAGGAGAATTCGTGATATTCAAAAAAATATCTCAATTATTCCAATCAGTCGAGAAACGAATTTCACTTGTTTCGCTTTTTATAACGCGAAATCGCTGCCCCCAATCGTTTTTTAAAATCACATTTATGGTGAAACAAGTTTGCGAAAGGGATCTCGCGCCGAGTTAAACGTTAATCGAGGATTAATTATTCATCCTTCCCGCGTCTTTTGTCCAACGGTCCTTTCGCGTCGTTGACACTGGATGGCGGACAGAAAGAGAGAATTAGCATAGTAGAATCATCAAGAACGTTAGTGACGACAAACACTAAGGCACTCTACGAACGTCGGACAAGATGCGCGCGTTAGTGGTTGTTAAGGGGCGTTCCTCCGCGGGCTCAGGGCCCTCCCGAGAGTTCAGGATCAGGAACGTTCGACCTCGATCGGACGGGGCACCCTCTTTCTCAGCAGCCACCAATCATCATCATCATCATCATCATCGCAACACGACGAGCAACACAGCAAACTCCATCGGCCACAACTCCATTCGCCGTAACTCACCGCCCTCGTCGTCGCTCATCGTCGAGATCTTCAGGAACTCCCGCAGGTGTTTCGGCAGCTTCCGCGCGTCCTGGAGCTCCTTGCCGTCGATCAGGAATTTCGCGTTGATCAGAGCGTCGCCCTCCCCCTCGTCCTCGTGCTCCGTCCCGCTCTCGTCGAGGTCGATGCCGAATTTGCTCAGTCGGCTGCGGGCTTTCTCGATGAACTCCTTCGCCATCGCGCTCATGTCGCCGTCCGCCTTACGCTTGATATCCTCATGCGAGCTGATCTTCACGACCTTATGACTCTTCCGTTCCTGCCGCTCCAACACCTTGTGCACGTACTCGTCGTACATCCTCTGGCGAAATGCCTCCCCGTTCGTCGGCAACGTTGTCGGTCTCTTCACCTCCACGTTCTTCTTCTGAGTCGTCTTCTTGATGGGCCCCTCTTCGGTATCGTTTCTCTTCGTCGATCGGCTTTCCTTAACCTCGCTAGACTTGAACGTTCCGTTCTCTACCGTTCTTCCAAGGTTTCCTTTCTGCGTAATCACGCGGCGTTCCTCGTGCTTTATACTCTCCGTAGATTCCTCCTCGTGATGCCCGTTCTCGTGACATATCTTCTTCAAGAACTGCCGACTGCCGGTCTTATCGATCGTCTCCGTGCGATCCTTCTCCACACTCCGCGATTTTTCCTGCCAGGATTCTCTCTGAATTCCTGGCTCGCTTCGACAGATCTCTTTGACGCGGCTCTCCTCCAGGCCTCGAGATTCAACTCCCTTATCTTCCGCACATTTTCCGTCTGTCATCTCGATCGGAATTTCACGTTCGAGATTTATGCCAGTTCTCCTCGAAGTTTCTTCGGGGATATCGGCGAGAGGGGATCTTCCCGTTTCGTCGCACCGTTTCGTCCGTTGAAAATGCGTCTGAAATTCCTCGTAAGCCCTCCTCTCCTCCTCTTCCGCCAATATTACGTTCTTCAGCTGCTCCTCCAGCAGCTCGATGTATCTCAGTTGCTGGGCAAAGTACTCCTGCGGCAAGGAGTCCCTCCTATCGCCGTCGAGCCGTCGCGACGTTTCCGTCTGCAGCTCTTTCAGCTTATCCATGATCTCCACCGCGGCCACGTGCTTCAGCTTCTCCGCTTCGTGGTGACCCCTTCGCGGCTCCAGATGACTCCTCGGCGGATTCTGGTCGAAGATGCTCGTCGTGTCGATGCACGATCTGTCGACCGTGACCGCGCGTTTCGGTAACGGCGGTACCTCGACTCTGTCGTCGATCAATGCCGGATTCACGTGCTTGCCAGGATCGACCGCCCTCCTGAGGGGTGGCGTTCTCTTGTCGGCGGCGTCCATCGATCGATCGGTAACGGCACCGTTCAGCACGAACGGGCACTTAACGTTACTCGCGAACGGTCTCTCCGGATCGCGAGCTATCGCCGCGTTGTTGTTCGGCGATCGATGTTCAGCCTGGCCGGCGGAACGTGTCGCAATCTTAAGCCGATCGGTCTGGGCCACGTGACCGTTCGGCTTATCATCGCTCGACTCGCCATCCTCGCCCCTCGCCGCTGCCAGGAATAGCTCGTTCGCGGTGGCGCTTCGACGATCGCGTCTAACTAGACTCGTCCACTCGTTCGACCGAGGCTCAGCCTTGAAGCGTTCTTGACCCTTGTGACGCCCGAGATAGTCATCCGTGGCATCGTTGATTATCATCTTTGCCTGACGATCCACATGCGTATTATTTTGAATAACGTTTCGCTCCTCTTTGATGATTTCCAGCAGTCTGCTGCTAGAATTTTCAATCGTACCGTCTTGATGAGTCGCTCGAGTGGGCGGCTTGGATGTTTTCGAGGCTGCGTCATCGATCTGTTTGGTCGTCGGACGTATTTCTACCCGGTACTGTGGCACAGGAACGTGATATGGCTGTTCCTCGCGGTAACTGTATCGGTTCAGAAACTTTCGGTGAAGGTCCAACAGAGCGTCGGCACTCGTACGCACCTGCGTGGCCTGTTGTGACGGTGACAGGCACACCAGGAGCCTGGGGTCCTCCGAAGTGGTGAGCGCGCGCCAACGCGGTTCCTGGTTCTCCATCTTGTCCCTTGACTCTGACAACTCAGTATTAACGTTCCCTGCCAACTTGGCCTGGTCTGAAACAGCGTTCGCAATGTCGTTAGGATGAGGCTGCTCGCGCTCGTCCGGCGTTTTCGTTAGTCCGTGCCGTCGATCACTCACTCCATGCATCGAGCTTAATCGGCCGCTCGCCGGCGGTATGTCACGCACAAACCTCTGTAAAGTCCGCAGACTCTCGAAGATGTTGAACTTGGGCGTGGTGATCTCGCCTATCACCTGCGGTCCGTACGGCATCGACAGAATCCTCTTGATGCAGAGATCTCTTAGAGAGGGCGGTTGTCGTGACACGTCCTTCGTGGTTTTCTCGCTCGTTTTTTCGGTTCTGCTTTTGTTCAGTGATACATAAAGATCCTCCACGGGAGAGTAAGGAACCGGCTGCGGCGATTCCGAGCTCTCTGCCAGGGTCGTTTCGTTTGCAGATCCTCCGGCACTCTTCAACAAGGTGAGCTTCCGCTTCAGAGACTCCTCCGCTTCGTCTTTTGAACTCTCCTCTTTGGTCTCGCGGACAATCGAGCTAATGTCGGTTAATGACGCTTCCAGCGGATGATGTTTCACGGTACTCAGGGACGTGGTACTGCTGGACGAGTCGTGTCCTTGAGGGTCGCCCGGCTCGCCCTCAGGCGAGAGATTTTCACTCGTCGGGACGTCCGCCCTTTGAAAGCTGGCCTCGTCGTCGGACGAATTCCTCGCGTCGCTCTCTCGGGAGGAGCTGCGCGTTTCTTCTTCGTGCTTCTCCTCGTGCCTCTCCTCGCGCTTCGACTCCCACGTCGAATATTTGGAATTACGAAGGCCATCGTGTTGGTTAGCGCTGGTGCTCTCCTCGCGCCGTTCGATTATTCTCGTCTCGCTCTTCACTATTCGCTCGCGCCGGAAACCGGACGTCGATTTCTCCTCCCCCTCGGGTTTTCTCTTCCTCTTGGAGCCCGAGGAGCCCATCGCCGACTTGTCCTTCGCCGAGGAATCCGTGCGCGTATCTGATTTATCGTTCCTCGATGATTTGTGATCCGCCGTGGAACTCCGGCTTTTCGAATTTGCGTCTTGATCCGAGGAATACCTGCGCACCTCGGCTTCACCCTTCTGCCGGCACGACGACGTGTTTCGCTCATACGCCGTCGTCGCAGCGGCCGTCACGGGCTTCCCTTCCTCGCGACGCGTTATTTCCGTGCCCGTCGCGTTTGCCAACGCGATGCCGTGCGTGCCGCGCGAGCGTGACAGATCATCGTCGCGAATATCCGATGACGCGACCGATCGACCGTCCTCGGTCGAAGCCTCGTCGACGTGTCCGACCCGATTTACACGCCCATGAATCTCATTAGCGCGAACGATCGTCGAGGTGAGATCGCGCGGGCGCGAAAAGTCCTCGCGGTGATTCGCCCGATCGGCGGTCCTCGACGTGGAGAGGCCGTCGCGAGTTCCGGGAAGCTCCGGCCGTCGCGGCAGCTCGTCGTCGTCGTCGTCCGTCGCCTCGCGACTCGCGCACTTCCGCGCGGATAAATTCGTCGACCCGCATTCGTCGCCCGCGTTCGCCGCAACGGACGGCTGATGAGCGTTCACGCCACTCGAGATATAGTCTATTTCAGGTAGCGTCGGCGGTCTCTGAGACTCGCGGGTTCCGAAACTGGACGACCGCCTCGGTAGAGGCGGCGGCGGCGGCGGCGGCGGCGGCGGCGGCGGCGGTCGCTTCGTTTCCGACGCGACGATCTCGTCGTCGTTCGGCGACGATTTCGAGGATGAATCAACGCCGTCCTCCGCTCGCGATGCGCCACCGCTGTGATTAACGATCGCGGCCATCTCGACGGAATCTTTCGCGGACGTCGCGGTTTGCCGATTCCGCAGGTGTCGCGACTTGATGACACGAAAATTTATTAACCTCCGCTTTACTTACATCTGCGTCACTGATATTGTCTGACTGTCACATTTTTTCTTTACCTTCTCCGCCTTTATTACTTTCCTTCGCCAGCGTCTTTCGTCGGCATCATTTCTCACGATTCCTATTTCTTCAACGGTTCTCGTACGTTCGTCGGCTACAAATCGCTAGTTCTGAATTTTCAAGGATTCATCATTTAACGTGCTGCTTTTCGAGTCTACTTTTTCGTTAATCGTTTCGGCCACACCATCGGCGTCTTTTACCATTTCGCTTTCGGGATTCGTAGCATCTTCAAGCTCTCCGCAATTATTCATCTTGTCGCGCGAACGTAATTCCAAAGTGTCATTCCCCGTCATATCGGCGATTCTAATCTTAATATCGCATTCCGGCTTTTCGAAAGCCGGTTCAATCTTCTCGAGATCAAGCCTTCTCGCCTCGATGTCATCCACCGTCCTCTCGACGGAACGCCTGTCTTCTCGCCGATACTTGCTGATCTCCTCGTTTATGAAATCTCTGATGTGCTGCGCCTCGTCCTCCGACAGTCTCTCGCCCTCCTCCTGTATGATGTCTAGAAAGCTGCTGGCGTAATGCGACGCCGACATCGTGCGCTTCCTCGTTTTCCGGCGCGGCGAGCTGGCTGCCTTCTCGAAAGACCGGCTTTCCTCCGCCGCGACATCCCGAGGGGGGACCTTCTCGAGAGACTTCCCCTCGTCCTCGACCACCTCCTCGGAGAAACTCGGCAATTGAAGGTCCTCGATGAAGTTCCGCAGCTTCCTCTCCACCTCCTTGGGCATCACTGTCGCCCACATCAAGGTCGGAGATTCCATTTCCGGCCTGGCGAACTTCTTCTGCGGCGCGAATTGCTGCCCGATTCGATCTCTCGGCTTAGATACCTCGTGATCGTCGGAATCCTGCTTCTCGATCGATTCCTTCTCCGCGTCGGATTCGAATTCGACGATCGCCGAGCCGCAGTCGATCTCCACGTCGCTGTCGCTGACTTCTCGGATCTCCAATTGATTCCCATTCGCCCGCGAGACTCTGGTGCTCGCATCACCAGTAAGTGTCTGTATCGATTCCATCGGTTCCGATACCGTCACTACCGTCGACATCTTCGACGTCTTGTCGCTTCCGGTCTCCAGGATGCCCACCCCGGCGATATGGCCAAGCGTCGCCTCCAGAGGCAAACTGCTGACGGTCGTGATCTCGATTATCCTGGGGCGAGAGTTCGCCAGCTCGATTTTCTCGATCCTGCGTTTATCATCCGGTCGGAATTTGCATTCGCGCTTCGAGAAGGATCCACGGTGATCCTTGTCTTCGATCGAGTCGACGTTCCGCGAAATAAAATTTTTCGGGTCGTTCGTTCTCGAGTCGTCATCGTCGTCGTCGTTGCCGACGTCGCGTTCGTTCCTCGAAATTCTCGGACGGTTCTCTTCCTCGGGCTTCCTCTGTTCGGTCTTTCGCGAGGATTCTGGGACGTTCGTCGGTGGTGGCTGAGGAGGTCGCCGACGGTTCCGATTCCTGCGGCCGCGGTTGCGGTTGCGCGCGCTGCCCTGCGGCATCACGACGCAATCCTCCGCGTCGGTTGCGTAATCCGGGAGCTCGCGGTGTCCTACGACGTCGCGAATTTGTGGAAAGACTTTCGAAGGAACGTGCGTCCTCGCACGCCTCCGCACTTATTCTTTTTCTCTCTCTTCCTCCTCACCCCGCACAATTCTCTCACCGAAAATGTGTCGCGTCGCGGTCGTTTCACGACAAGTTCGCCGATCTCTTCCGTTCTCCGCTTCTTTTTCTCTCGTACGTTTCTATCTAATATTCGCCACGAATTTCCCGACTCGGGATTTTTCTCGCACGCTCACGTATAAGCGTTTGACGCGCCCTTATTTTCACAGTTTAAAGACGACGGCTCGTTACGATTTTCTCGCATCCTCTCGGAAAGGAGCAATGAGATTTTGAAAGTTTTCGAGAGTATTACGAAACGACGTTACCGTAGAACTGGATTTCGCAGAAAGTTTTACAGCTTCGATCTCTCCCACGAATTTCTATTGGACACGAGACGCTCGAATCTGATTACTCGAATATAACGTTAGGAAAAATAGCAAAATTGAAACAGTTTCTTCAAATCTCCTTATTAACTAAAATAGAAAATAGTTTTTTAGTAAAGACAGTATAGAACCAGCCTCATTTCTATAATACTACATGCATTTCACTTTCCCTCGAGCAATTCCACTTGAAATTCTCGAGAAATTTATATTGCCAATTTTTTTAATACACACCGAACCGGCCTTGCCACAGATTCGCGTTTTCTTCTTACGCGAGACAATTCAGCAGGCTTTTAGAAAGATCGTTCCAGACGAATCGCAATCGCCGGATAATGCTTGATGAAGAAAGGAAGAAAGAAGATATCGTGTATGTACAGTATTTCAGCGATCATGCAGAAATAAGCGTGGCCCAGTCCAGCATTCCCAAGTTATATATTTTCCTTTCGCCAATAACGAGGCGCTCTTACCTTTCTTTACGTCGCTTCGTTGTTCGCTCGGGCAGCTCTTCAGAGCACCGTTCTGATTGGCGTAGCTCTGCTCGACTTTTGTGTCATCTGAAAGAAATGGTTCGATGTTGCAGTGAGCAGCGCGAATATCATCTCTCGGAGATGTCTTATTTATTCCAAGTCGAGAACTCGCGATAGTGAAAATTAAACTATTCCTTAAATATGAAATTAAGACCCGGTTGGTTGCATCAACGTTATTTTGGCTTTAAGCAAAACTTAAATATGCATCTTTCTTTTTAAATAAATAAAAACAGACACATATTTAAATCTCGTTTAAATAACCGTTGGTGCAATCGGGCCTAAATGAACAAATTAAAAAAATTAATAAATCTCAGCAAAACTGTACGATTTACGTCGTTCAACCGACAGATTCCTCGACACGTCACAGACTCCGAGTATGAGAATCGATTTTTCAACGCCGACTAATCGCGACGAAAATCCGCGATTTCATGCGAGTGCACACGCGGAACACGACGGCGACGAGTGCGGGGCGTCGCGAGGCGTGCACGAGGCACGAACGAGCGCGTTAAATTTAGGCGAGAGTTCCGACGATGACGACCACGACGACGCCCATGTTAAACGTCAACCAGTCGCAAATCAACGGCACAACCGCGACCTGCAGCAGGGTACGTGAATTGCGATTATACACTGAGCCACACGAGTGGACCCGACGAAACCACCCACGAAACGCGCTCGCGTCCCCACCCGCGCGAAGTCACGTGCTACGTGCACGCATTCACGTCGATCCAGGTAGATTCGTGTCGCGCACACACGTGGACGATTACTGCGACCCAACTGAGTGAGAGAATTTCAATGTACGCCGTATCGTATCGTATCGTATCGTCGGTGTCGGAAGTCCATGGTCGTCTGCGTGTGTCGACCCGAAACTCTCTCTACCTCCAGAGAGAGGCACGGTTCGGATATTCCGCTGGAAGCGTCTCGCGGAACGCCCCGGGCGCTTTTGGGGTGCGCTAACGCGCGAGCACTCGGCGATTTTGCGAAAATTCCGACAGAGAGAGAGAGAGAGAGAGAGAGAGAGAGAGAGAGAGAGAGAGAGAGTAAGTTAGTTTTCTTTTTCGTTTTACGTTTTTACGTTTTTTTACGTTTTTTTTTTGGTTTTTTTTAGGGTTTTAAGGTTAACGGTACCGGTACCGAACCGGTAAACCCGGTTAACTTTAATTAGTAGGTAGGTCGACACACACACACACACACACACACACACACACACACACACACACACACACACACACACACACACACAACACACACACAGAGGCGCGAAATTGTAGCACGTATTAGCGCACGTACACACACAGGGACGGGCGTTCGAGCATGCACGCACGCACACAAAGTCTCCCCTCTGAATTCATGAATAGCGCCGCTTCCGAGTTGGACTTCCTTCCGAGCGCACAATGCCGGCGGAGTGACTCTGTCGCGCGAGCGCACCCATCTATTCTCCGCAACTTTTCATTGCGTCACGGCAGTCGCGAGCGGACACACGCGCGAGATCCGGAAGTGACGGGACGTTTTTTTTTTTATCTTTTTTTTCTACCTTTCGAGCAAACGGCCCCGTATCTCGACGCGTCGACGTGCCTACGTTGCTCGATTCGGCGACGGGCTAAAATAAGAATTCCGACGGGGTGGAAGTCTCGGTGCGGCCGTAAAAATCTGCTGTACAAACACACATACGTACGCACACACATACACACACGCTGTAACCTTGCGGTTACACAACGCAATAAAATATATATGTATATCACGTCAATTGCGTAATAGGATCGAAGAGGCTTACGCAGCAAGGGCTGTTGGGCTGTTACGGACACTAACGGAGAAGAGTGAGAATCGGGGGTGAACCGTGGCTGGATTAGGTATCACGTAACCCCTGCGAGGGTTGTTGAGAGAGAGAGAGAGAGCGAGAAAATATTTTCCCACAGTTTTTCACCACGTCAGCCTCGCGACGATTAATATAAACCGGCCGTCTTTCTCAATTTACGTAAAATTAGCATTAGGTACCTCGCGCGCGCCGGCCTCTCGGAGAAAAATTATGGCGGTGAAATTTCCCCGGGGGAAGATTAGGGGAAACGTTTCGCGCGAGCGATTTTCAACCGCCGGGGCGGCGGGCCCATTCGCCACGCGTTAATACGCGATCGGCGCGATGGGTGCGCCGTCATGCCCCGAAGGTGCCAAGCCCACGTTTCCGCGTCTTCCATCTTCGTCCTCCACTGCCGCCTCCCTGGCGCTGCGCCCTTTTCATCCTTCTCCGTCCGGCCGTGCGTGCGAGCGAGAGAGCGAACGTGCGAGCGAGGTCGAGCCCCCTCGCGAGGAGGGATTTCCTTCGATCCGATCGCCGCTGCCGCTCGTCGCTTGCGCAATCGGTCAGCGTGACATATTTTATTGCCCGGCAATTCTGTCCGTTGCATAATCGATCACCGGCGTCACGCTCCGCGTAGATTCGACGAATCAATCCAAGATGGACTCGCGCTCCATGTATTCGATTTTTTACGTAGATTTTTGAGCAGAGAGCAAAGCGCAAGCCTCCCTCCGGAGGCCTTCATTTTTAATAACCTCCGTGAAATTCATATCATATCGGACGAAGCAAAATATATTTTTCACAAGAAAAATTTCCAATAGGGGAAAAAGGAGGGGTGTTAATGTCAAATTTGATTATCGACTTATTAAAAACTAGTTTTGAGCTTCTGCATCATCAATCAGTTAAAAATAATGTAGTTTGTGAAATAATCAATTAATTTCGAATGTATATATACAAATTTAATAAATGGAAAATTATCAGATTCCTGAT